GCTCTCACAGCATCCCACAGCTCATAAAAAGTTTCTGTTGACTCCATAGCTCTTCTGTAAAATCAATGACTAGTTTCCTTAAAACATTGCATACGTAGCCACTGTGGGCTTGTCGCCTGAATAAAACTCCAACATCTCCTCTGACTGGCTAATAGATGATGAGCACTAGTGTCATATATATCTCATGTAACTGTTTACATTTGTCGCTGTAATGTTTTTTAGTTATTTATTGCGTGAACAAGTTTATTCACGTGTGATCTTAAATTAATTTCTTATTTAATAGAAACATAAAATTGTATGTATATTTCCAATAAAGGTTTTCGCGCATTTTAATGGAAATGCAGCTACATGGTGAAAATCCCATAGGTTTTCTATGGGATTAACTTTTTGTGATTAACAGTGGTGGGTTTGTGAGAAATAAAGGTTGTCCAAATTGACATGCAAGTGTCTGACTTCTCTGCTCTGAAATGAATGAGAGTCAAGCTCCTTATTGCTACACTTTTCCCACAATAAAAGAAAAGATAAAATACAGACTTAATTAAAACTTGCAAAACAATACAGTCATCAATAATTCACTTTGCACTCAGCCAAGAGCCCTCAAGCAGAAACCTTGTATTTGCCAGAAGCATCAATAAAAAGCCTCGCTGAGTTTTCTCTGGGGCTCTAAAATTTACCGTTCTGTATTCAGTGTTAATGCTGCATTAACTTGTCATTCGTGGAAGATAAAGGATCTTACCTGTGGGCTACCAAGAGCTTCAAGCTGCTGCAGTAAATTGTTCTTTGCTACAATCACTTCTGCTTCTATCCGTTCAGACTCCCTACTGGAGCGCTCCAACTCCTAGGAGTCAGAGAAAACAATAAGGTAAAAACTTTCATCTTAAATTACATTAAAAAAAAGAGAGAGAACAGCCTGAACTCACAGCAGTGACTCTGGACAACTCCCTGCAGGTGCTGAGGAGGCCGCTCTGCAGCAGGTCTCTCTGCTGGATGACGCCCTGCAAGGCGGCCGGGTTTTCTGAGCCCAGCTCAATCTCCTGGCTGGCCGACAGAAGCGCCGTCTCCAACGTGTGCTAGAAAAAAAACACATACAGGTTATTAAATATATATATCTGACAAAACTTAATTTTTTGTTGTATTGGCAGCCAGTTAGCGGTAGCCGAATCAGAACGCAATGAAGATGTTTGGGTGTGACTAAAACTTTCAGAAATCTGGTAGAAAAGCTGAGTACATTTGAAATTAATCTGTGAAATTTTCAAGAAAAGATATGGAAATTTCTGAGTTTGAGAAGTTAAAAATGTTTGACTTTTGAAACCAAAACATCCATGTTTTTTCTAGAATTTTTTTTAGATTAATCTCAAAATTACAGAGTTTCTTTCTAGCAATTTTTTAAACCTTTGGAGCTCAGAAATTTCCTTGTTTTGAGAAAACTGTGTTTTCTAGGTGGAAATTTCCTCCATTTTTTTCTGTCCACAACGACCCTTATACACTGTCGTTCTTCTCTAACTTGTAACCCGGTTTTAAGTTGGTTTGTGATTAACCAAATGAATGTGTCGGACTAAATTTTCTCTCAACTCTTTAAAAACCTACAAAAATAAACAATTTTAAACAAATAAACACTACATTGCATATATAATTTAGCTTTATTCTTTTTAAAATGACGCCACCATTTGTCATTTTCTGTGCTGCTGTTTTGTCTGAGGATTTAATGATGACAAATGTCTCCTCACCTTCTCCCTTAACAGCTGCTGAAGTTTCTCCTCCTGCATCTTCCCCACCTTATCCTGCTCACACAGCCTGCTAATTATACTCTACATACACAGAGAACAAAAGTAAAAAAAAATATCTTACAGCAGAATGAATAAATGAATAATTGAGGAGTGAACTTACATCAATATCCTCCACCTCTGGCATGTACGTGTAGACCGGTTCCCTGTAGTCTTCTGGACTCATCTGTGAAGACGAGCGCAGCTTTAGATGGAGGTAACAGATCTGCACATACACTGTAGGATCTGGAGATCTAATGCAGTGCCATTACAAGGCTCTTTCACTGAGCCAGAAGATTAAACCCTGAACGGGAGCTCATAATTCACCACATCAGAAAACCTACATTACCCAAAACCCGCAGTGGAAAGCAGACGGCCCAAACACAATCTCTGTGCAGGTGGAGCTTGTGAATCATGTTTCTCAGGTCGTTTTTCTCCATCAGTGAGACAAGTTCGTATTATTGGAAACGGGAAAGGAAGGCATGAACATGAAACCAGAAGTTTACATACACCGACTGAAAACACTTATTTTTTTCTCACTATCTGAAGTTAAATCAGAACAAACTTCTCTTGTTTTAGGTCAATTAGATTTACCAAAATTATTTCTATTTTCTGAAATCCTCAATGATGAGAGACAGAATATGTCAGATATTTATTTACTGTGTCAATGTCCTCACATTGGTAGAACCGGTGTAACTGGGTCAAGTTAGTGGGTCGCCTTGACTGAGACTTAAGAAATGTATTTTGTGTAGATATTCAGCTTGGCCATCTCTGACTGGTGAGAAGCTGACGGAAAATTAAAACATCAGATCTGATCAAAGTAACACATCAAAGCTCTTCACTGTGGACCATAATGTTGGGTCAGGATCTCTTTATTGTATTCTGGAAGTGTTTAGCAATAAGGTTGAAAAAAGCACAAATATTTGAGAAGCCATTTAGAATAAAAATGTTTTATACGACAAGTCAAGCTCTGGTTGTTCATGCTAATCGCTAACAAAGATGCAAAACTGTGGAATCACTATCTTTGGTTCTGAATATTGGTAAAAACTTGCTTTGCAAGGTGTAGTCACATCTAAAAGACATAATAAATGTTTACTCCAAGCAGGAAGACAAGAAGAAATATTCTGTATGCTGCATTTTTATCTTCTTATATTGTAGTTTCTAAGGGAAAATAGGATAATATTGGTTTTGACAGAGCAAATAAAAAATCAATGCATCTCTAAACGCATAGGAACAAAGTGTAAATGTATTGTGTAAACAACAGTACTTCTAAATGCAGATCGAAAACTGTCATGTTTTTCCCCTTTAACTGATTCATCTGAAGACAAAAAACACTAATGAGGTCAAAATGTGACAGATTATGGAAGTAAATAAATATGTACTGAAACAATTTGTGAGACTATGAAAGAAACATTAGATTTCAGCTGCATTGGATCCCTCGTTTCCACAAAAATAATGTGCACATAATACACATTTACCAACTCTTTAAAAATATAAAACAATACAGTCCTCAAATATTGAGACAGTGACTTATTTCTGAGTTGATTTATGTTTCTAGCCACATTGGATATGAAACAGCAGAAAGAGCAAAAGATCAGATACAAACACAGTACACTGAAAAAACACCAAATATTACCAAGTATTTTTGTCTAGTTTCTAGTGCAAATAGCTTAATACACTTGAAATAAGACAAAAGTAACTTTTGAGAAATATATAGGAGCTTATGCATCTCTAAACATTTAGGAACAAAATCTAAATGTTAAGTTTATGTTTAGTTTAAGTTTACTGTGCTAGTTCTATTGAAAAAGTATGTTGCTATAAGTGAAAATATTTGCCAGTGGAACAAGTACTTTTTCTTTTTAATAAATATACAAGAATTATTGGCTTAAAACAATCTCCTATATCTTGCTGAAAAGTTACTTGTAAGTTAGTTTTGTCTTATTTCAAGTGTGCAAAGATATTTGCACTAGAAATGCTTGGAAAGATTTTGTGTTTTTGCAGTGTAAATACAATGTTTATAGCTTTTACTATTGAAGTACAATTATCTTACTTGTTTTGGTAGAAGACCTGTTTGGTTTCACAGTAAACCGTTTATTAATTTTAAGTCCAATATGAGAGAAATAAAAAATAACCCACAAAATAACTCACTGCCCAAATATTTTAAGACTCTACGGCAACATTCCTCTCACACGTTGAGTGGTTCACACACCTTCCCTCTGCTCAACCACATGGTACATTTAAAGCAGCAGGAACCACATGGCATTCCACAGAGAACATGCACGCTCTCCTGCAGCCCGGAGAGCCTCACGGTGGGGTCATGTGGACTACCAGCGACATGGGGAGGAGGACAGGGGAGGGACACAGACTTCTGGCTACGCAACAGGTGGGAATGCAGCTAGCTGGAGTGGTGCCGGTATGTCAATGAAAGGGTGAGACGGGTCCCAGAAGGGGTCAAAGAGGTGATGTCAATAACAGGGCAACCGCTTTATGACACTGGTGAAGGGAGAGAATGGTAAAGGAAGGTTTACTCAGAATATACCAGAATAATTTAAAGTGCTGAGTGGTTATATAACCTACAGTATGCTATAATTTTAAAGGTGACCTATTATGCTTCTTTGGACAGGTTAGGATAGGTCTGTACATTTTTTGCACAGAATCATTTTTCATTAGTTTGGTCAGTTCGTTCTGACAAAATGTTCTTGAACTCAGCTTGGGTTGCTAGGTAACGGGTGGAGTTCTGCTGGGGTTGCTAGGTAACAGGACTGGGCTTCTTCTGGGGTTACTAGGTGAAGGGCAGTGCCTGCTGATTTGTGACGCTATATGTGTAAAGTTGTTGAAACGGCTCACTTTCCAGACACCAGAGAACATGAATTAAATGTCAAAAGCAGTCTGGATGTTTTTTTCAACCGATCTAATGAGATTTTTAAGGATGCATCAATATGAACATTTTAGTCGATATTGATATCAGATATTAATATTGCTGCTTTGACTTATAACCGATAATTACCAATATTACATATATATATTTCTCTACTGGCACTCGCACGTGAAAATAGCTGCAAACAGCACGCAATTATACATACATCTTTGAGAAGGATTAGAAGAGCCTCTTACACGACCTACAAGAATCCAGCAAGTGGTTCTTTGATAGTAAGTCAAAAACAAAACACTTGTCTTTTACAGCACGTATTTGTACAGCAGTAAAACCAGCTTGCTGGAACTTGAATGGGTTGCTAGGTAACGGGGATGGGCTTGGCTGGGGTTGCTTGGTAACAGTGCAGTGCCCCTTGAGTGTGACTTAATAATCGGGCTGTTTTTGTTTTGTTTTCCCACACACACAAAAATATTAACTTTTTGCCAAAAAGTGACAGGGTGTTTTTTTTTTTTTTAAGTGCTTGGGCTGTTTTCCAAAGCATTTGAGATACAAACGGAAGTATAAAAGTGAGCCAAATTATGAATTTTGCATAATAGGTCCCCTTTAAATGTTGGACTCAGATTTTAGGAATAATGAAGAATCTTAACTGCTAAACACAAATGACACCATACTTTTGTACTGTAAAATGAATGATTTTTCTGGCTTTAACATGGGAAAATGAAGAAGTGATAATCTAGACACTTAAATAAGTTTGAGAAAATAACATTTTACTGTTACAGGTGAAGACTTTCTGTATATGGTTTCTGAAATATTATAATGGCTGGAGGAGTGATTGCATACTGATTGAGGTCTACACTTGTGACCGTAATCTCAATAAATTAGAATATTGAAAAGTTAAGATGTGAAACAAAAGCAGAAACCAAATTTTGCTAACTGTAAGCCACAATCATCATGTTTAACATAAAAAAGCTGATTGAAATATTTTTTGCTCTGTGTAATGAATCCAAGAGTCTATTTCAGTCACCTAAAATAAATTAACATTTCTAATTAATATAAAATGCAAATAAAATGCAGTCTTTATATAACCCCCAACACACAAACCTGAAAATGAAGAGGGGGGATTAAACTGAACTGTGGCGAGAACACATACATCGGATTTATTCGTCTTGAAAGTCATGCCCACGAGAACATGACTTCTCCTAATAAAGAGAACAGTCAAAAGCGATGGATGAGGAGGTGCTAGCATAACAAACAAAACAAAGAGACCAGTCTCAAGATGCCGAGAGGACTTGGACATCGAAAAGGAGGAGCATTGCAAAACAACGGCAGCGACTGGTGAAGATGAGCTGGAGCAACGCCTGTGGCTGGCCTTACTTGCTGGTAAACTTGAGGCCTTGGGGCAGAGTTCTCAATCAAAGTGTGAGTCAAGACGATTAAAGGGTCAATTTCCTTCATCTAGTACAGTGTGAAGAGGAGCGATACAGAAAGTGTCAGAAAGTTTACAGCAGTGAACTTGAGTTCTGAGACAAAAGCCACAGCATGATTACACCTCTCCGATGAAGGTGACTCAGACATAAACATGTGTGTCCAGAAATGACAGGAATGGATGTAGATCTAAGAGGCAATAAGTCAAACTTACAAACTGAACTGTGGTGCAAAGCACTAAGAGGATTTAAGTCTTAGAAGTGAAAAGCTCCTCTTAAAATCTTAACTTATTGTATTAATACTAAACGGCAAAAACACAAAATCTCACCAAGTATTTTTAGTTTAGTTTCTGGTGCTTGAAATAAGACAAAACTAACTTACAACTTTTCAGCAAGATATAGCAGCTTGTTAGTCAATAACTCTTTAATATGGGGGAAAAGATTCTACTTTCACTGGCAAATTATTTCACTTATAAAACGGGAAAAATATCTTGCTATAAGTGAAATAATCTGTCAGTGAATCTACTAAGAAATTACTTACTTAAAACAAGCTCCTATACTTTGCTAAAAGGTTACTTGCAAGTTAGTTTTGTCTTATTTCAAGTGTACTAAGATATTTGTACTAGAAACCAGGCAAAAATACTTGGTAATATTTTGTGTTTTTGCAGTGTACTAAAGCAGCTAGCTCTACTGTTGCCTTCAATTGTTTGTGGTAAAATAGTGTGAGGTAATTATTTCTCTGTTTACAAATATCAGAGGCAAACTGTAATGATAATTATTACGAACGTATTAGTGTTGCTTTGTGCATTTTATAAAACCCATAACATGCTTCAGAGAAGGGAAGAAAGTAAGACTTTTTACAGAACCCAAATAAAGCGTGTGTGCTTTAATTTAACCAATGAACGCTTAATGTACCAATTAAATTATTAGACAGATTTAAATGATTGATTACTGAAAGAATGTATCTGCAAACACAGTGGTGGTTAGGGGTGTAACGATGCATTCTAGCTCAGGAGGCAAGACAGCACTGCGTTCATGAGGCAGGACTTTAGCAATATTTTTGGGAAAACTCAGAGTGAATTCTGGGTAAACACAACCAAAAACAACGTGAGTCTAGCGCTAGCAAGAGACATAAGAGAAATCCTACAGCCGCTAAAATCCGACGCTACTCCATTTTTGTTTACATTTTGTGAAGAAGGAAGTTACGCTCTTTGTTTTCTTCAGAGATTTTCATGTTGTTTCCTTCAGTGGTTCTTGGTGCAGCGCCCCCACAGGTGAGGAGGTGAACTGTTTTTTCAATCAGTTTGGATCTTTTGACAAAGTGCAGTATGAAAGTGAACGGCAATAGCTGAAAATCCAACAAATGTTGCAATTTTGGTCCCCAATCGAACCCAGTCCACTGGACTATCAAGTGTTTAAGCACCCAAGTGTCTTGTTTTGATTTCTTTTTAATTAGAGCAAACTTAACGCTAATCACAAAATCAAAAAATCCAGTCCTCAATTTGCAGTTTCTATGCTTTGATCATTTTTAGGAGGTTCTAATGTTTAAAAAGAAGAATGAAAATATGGATTAAAATAAAACTTCACAAATAGGTTAAATAACTGGTATAATTATGATAGATTTTGTACAATTTTTTTAATGGGCTAGTTTACATTAAAAGATTGTAAAATAGTCCCAATTTTACAGTGGAGCATCTAAATATGAACAGATCTGGGTAGAAATAAATGAACATGCAGGAAGGGAGTGGCAGGAGCCAGCTTGCTGCACATCCCAGGTTGTGTTTCACCACATGTGGCTGCCACATGCACTCTGTGTGCCTCCTGTGTGTTGCGCTCTCCCCTGCTTTGCCTTTCCATGCTGCAACATCAGCAGAGAAGTAGATGACGGTCTCTTTCAGGGCCATCAAAATGTGGGAGAGTAGCCTCTTAACGAGCTGCTATAGTGCTTTAGCTTCAACTAATAAAGATGTTGGTATAGCACTTTAGCATTAGCTTCTGCTAATAACTATGTTAGTATTGTGCTTTATCATTAGGTTCTACTAAATATCATGTTGGTGTAACGCTTTAGGATTCACTTCTGCTAATAACAATGTTATAGGACTTTAGCATTAGCATCTCCTGCGTAGTACTTTAGTGTTAGCAGAACTAATGTTTACTATTAGTTCTTTAGTGTTAGTACATCAAACCTTTTAGCTAATAGTTCCCACCACTGACAATCAGATATTCAGCCTGTCGGATGGAGTCTCACTGCAGAAAACGTTCGTAGCTAACACAGATTAGCGCTACAAAGGGCTCTGGAGGCAGAGAGACCAGAGGAGGTAGGCAGATGTGGATTTATCGCAGCTGATACTGTTATTACAGTATTTACCAATTACATCTCCATCACAATACTTTCTAATAATGGCTCTTCCTGAGACAGCCTCCAGTTTGACAATAATTATCATGCCATTTTAATATCATGCGAGTTTGTGGCGCATGGTTACACCCCTAGTGATCCCACCACAGGACGTGCAATAACAGAGAAAGAAAAAGGATAAGATAATTCATAGTTTTGAGAAAACATAAGCATTGCTTTGACCCTTTAAATGTCACTACAAACCTTGTGTAAATCATATAAACTGATAAAAGAGGAATATGTGAATTAAATGTTGCTGTATGGGTGCAACTGCTGTTTTCTTTGGGAATTTCAGATAAAGATGGGTTAGAGATGTGGATATTTTCATATTACCACGTTAATATAAATATTTCCAGTACAGGAATGAATGAGTGAGAAGATCAGTAGGCTTTAAGTCTGAAATACCATCAAAACGAGAGGAAATACGCCACTATTGTTGCTCATTTCTTTCAGATATTTCAGCTGATTTTGTGTTTAACAAAGAAATATTTAGAATAAGAAAATTGAAAGAAGGAAGGGAGGAAACTAATATAGATGAAAGGAAAAACTAAAGGCTTTAACTAAAAAAAAACTACATAAATGTACAAATTTATATATATAAGAGAAGAGAAAGTACTGATGAACACAACATTGAATTAGTTCAGATCATCACCACAGGAAGGAGGCCAGGCATTCATGCACTACCCCACCTGATTGTCCAAATACATGAGGTTCCTTTGGAGGTGATGGGAGAGAATGTCGTTCTAGAGTCGGCAGCAAAGCAGCGGAAAGAGAAAGGAACAGAGTGAGAAAAAAAGAAGTCCTTTTATTACCAGAATGCGTCTCTTTCTTACTTAGGAACCACAGAACCATGTCATGTATCCAAATATAGCCACAGAGAAAAGGAAGCAGGACAAGCCGATGTGGAGAAAGCAGGTCAGGCACCATATAAAACTGTAGAACGTGACAACATGAGTCTGCGGCTGTGCATTATGACAAAATGGCCCCATGCAGCCCTGACAGAACAGGAAGATAAATATGAAAGAGACCAAACAATGAAGAGTGAAAATTATCAACGCACAAAGATAAATTATTGTGCTCTACTGTTACAACGTAGCATATTTTATTTAAAATAATGCTTTATTGCTTTTGGTTAGGCCAAATAAAATCTATTAATCGCACGATGAATTCAAATAAGCTTAATAATTTGCATCGTTTTTCTCTTTTCCCTCTTTCTACCAAAAACTAGGCAACAAAGGTCTTCATTCTGCTTCTGATCAATATTGAAGAATTACTGACGTAAAACAATTTCACTTTATTTGAAGTGGTTTGCATAAGACTTATATACAACCCCTTCAAACAAAGTGTTACCCAATCTCCTATATTGTACTGAAAAATTACTTGTTAGTTTTGTCTTATTTTGAGTCTACTAGAAACTAGAATTACTTGGTAATATTTTGTGTTTTTGCAGCGTATAATTTAAATATGACCCCCAAACACGACAAAGAGTCGTTTTCCGAGCCTATGGTGTGTTGGTTCTGACTCGGCCATGCATGAAGACCAACCGAATCTTCTGGACGAAGATGGATTATGAGAGAGGGTGGAGATGGCACATACACCACACGCCAGCAGAGACGAGCCTAGGCCTGACCTTTGGGTTGCTGTGATCCATGTTTAGTTGCATAAGCTGTGCTACAGTGTGGTCCCGGATACTGTTTAGCTCTGCTTGCTGCCGCCGCAGCTTTATCAGCAGCAAAGTCAGTTCCTCAGGCTGCAGGGAGGGCGGAGAG